TGAGTTCCATCTGTTATACATCTATTACTAATTGCTTAACATTCAGGATCTGTTGTCTTAGCAAATGCTGTACATCCAGTAAAGAATGTACATTTATTATCCATCCAAGCACATGCTGCATAAGTTCCACAATCAGTACATGGTTTTGCTTTTGGACAATCAGCCTCAGCAAAAGTATCACAATATGCTGCATATGCTACAATTGGAGCAACTGGAGTAGTTGACACTGCACATGCTTTCTTTGTACTATCCCATGAACATCCAAGAGAAGCATTCTTTACACAATCTCCTTCAGACAACAATTAAGTGCAGGTGCACTATGTTATGCTGTATGTTTGACTTACTGCTAAGGTAAGCAATAATGACAGTATGATGAATTTTTTATTCATTAAAAGTATTAAATGTTTTTTTCTGTTCACTCGCAGTTTTTAAAAAAAAGAAAAGTTATTATTTTAATTGTTATAATTACATCATAGTTTTTGAAAATCAACGAATGATATTTAATTTTGCTTTTAAATTATTAATATTTCAAAAAAATAATTTATGAAATTTTTGATTGCATTGGTGAAGACCTTCAAATTTTCTCATTTTACTTTTTCTCGTTATTTTTTCAATTCTCTTTAAATTTTAGCACATTTTAAGCAAGAGGTTATCTTCTGAATTCTTTCTTATATGAAAAACCCATCAATTATAACAAAAAACGTTGCAGCCAGCAAAAATTATAGAAAGAGATAATAAATAGACATGATCATAAAAAAAAGTTTAAGCACTTAATATTTAATGCTAAATATAGGAATTTATTGTTCATAAAGTATTTTCTTATTTATAATTTGTTATTATTATTTTCTAAGGGAATAGAAATAAAAGTCATTTCTGTTTTAAAAGGGTTGATACTTAATATTCTTGAAAAAAGGAAACCTGATATTAAAAAAAAAGGAGACGGAGTTTAAGAAATAATTTATTTTTTCATTTTCTTACTAATAAAATAATTAATAATTCAACAAGTGTTTTTTGGAAAAATTTAGAATTTAGTATTAGTAATCCATTATATGACAGAAATACTCTGATTCTGAGCTACATATTAATAGAATTTTGAGGCTCTGCTTTGTATTTGCTTTTGAAAATTTTGAAATATTTAAAATAAATATTTAATTTATGGAAAAAAATATTAATGGAGATTCCTAAAAATTTAAACAACATTTTGTCTCTTAAATATCTCAATATTTCTGGAAAAATTAATTGTTCTCACTATGTATTGATATTTCCCTTCTTTTAAATCTGAAAAATCTTTCAGATTTTCTATTCTCTCTCTGAAAAATCTTTCAAATTTTCCATTCTCATTTCCGTGAAATATTTTTTTAATTAATTCTCTATCGCCGTCTTAACTTATAGCAGGGACTGGTTAACTAAAAATATTCATAATAAATTTTAGACCAGAATTTAATTTTTTAATTAAAAATATATAAAACAGGATTTTTAAATTTTTTATCGTCTTGATTGTTTTTAAAAAAAAAATTAAATTCCTGTCTTTTCTCTTTTAAATATGAGTCTTTTAACCTTCTTTATTCTGTGTTAAGGATCATTTTTTTTATTGAAACTTATTAAATATTTCAGACCAGGATTTTAAAAACAAGGAAAAGAGAATATAAAAGAAAATAAAAAATAGCAATATGAATCTTTAAATAAATTAAAAAAAAATATTTAGTATCAAAATAACCCTCTGAAAACTAATAGTTGTTATTCAGTTGTAATCAATTGACATTTTCTTCAACCAGTTTTCAATGTATAAATAAGGCTTAAATTGATATGGTTAAGCAAGTATCTATCTCTTTAAACTTTGACTTGTTTATAATTGCAATACATAAGGAATTCCTACAGGTTTGACATGAAATGTAGAATAATCATAATCTCTTAGCAATTAAAAATGATTATTAAATGTAATTTATAAATTAAATTGTGTATTGTTCTTCATTAAAAAATAATTTTAATGATAATATATTCAAGGAAACAAAATATAAGAATTTGTTTGGAAAAAAGAATGCATAATATGTTTATGTGTAAAGAGAATAAAGAAAAAGAATTGAAATTTCATAAATTGGTGGACAGAAAGATATTTTGATCTTTAATAACTTCAAAATTTGCTGTTATGTAAGTATCATAATTTTAATAAAAATTTGATAAAACAATTTCATTTAAATTTGGGTTAGAAACTTTTAAGATGATTTTTTGTCAACCTTTCTTTTATACAAAAAGCATTATTAAAACTTATTTATTTCTACAATATTTTAAGAGTAATTTGTTAATATGTTCCAAATTGAACGATGTTTTCGCTTTATAATCACAATTTTGCTTGTCAATATTAAAATTAGTTAGTTATTTTGAATGATTTTAAATAAAATAGAGGAATAAGTTTTATAACCATTTAGCAATTTATTTATTTAGGGCATGCTTATGATAATCCACTTTAAAACAATAATACTTTGGAAATACATTAACCAGAGACTGAACTTAATAGAGTATAATCATTGTATTAATAGAAAGTGATTTACAGGTATGGTTTTCGAGAAAAAAAATGAAATAAAAGAGAAAATTAAATAATGAGTGTTGAATTGATTTTTTATATAATATATATTAATTCTATATTTATATTAGTTTACCACAAATAATTTTAATTTATGAAAAAAGGATTAGTTCGTCTCTGTTCTAGCCATTTATTAAAACAATCAAAGTTATTTAGCACAAACAATCGTTTAGCTTTTAGATTTTGCTCAGGGAAATAAGAAAAGCATGAATTCAAGGCAGAAACCAAGAAATTGCTTGACATTGTTGCTAAATCAATTTACACAGATAAGGATGTATTCTTGAGAGAATTATTGTCTAATGCTTCAGATGCATTGGAAAAACAAAGATTTTTAGCAACACAAAAGGGAGAGCAAGTTCCATCAGATCTAGAAATAAAGATCGAATTAGATGAATAAAAGAGAACAATTACAATCGAAGTAAATAAGTATATTCTATTGAAAAGGATTCAGGAATAGGTATGACAAAACAAGAAATGATTGATAATCTTGGAACAATAGCAAGAAGTGGATCAAAATAATTTTTGGAATAAGTTGGAACATAAATGAATGATAAGATTATTGGTTAATTTGGAGTTGGATTTTATTCATCATTTATTGTTGGAGACACAGTTGAAGTTGTAAGTAAAAGTGAAAGATCAGATAAAACTTATCTTTGGGTTTCAGATGGAACTGGAACATTTTAAATTTCAGAAGCTAAAGATTTTTTCTAAGGCAGAGGAACTAAAATAACTATTCATCTTAAACCAGATTAAGCTAATTTTTGTAAAAAAACTGAAGTCTTAAAAACAATATAAAGATATTCTAATTTTATTAATTATCCAATCATTGTGAACGGAGAGAGATAGAATATTGTGTCAGCAATCTGGGTGAGAAATAAGAATGAAATCACTCCAGAAGATTATAATAAATTCTATGAATACATATCTAATTCTAAACTTGCATATAAATACAAACTTCACTATTCTACAGATGCTCCCTTGTCCATTAAAGCATTGTTGTATATACCACNAAGAGTAATTTGTTAATATGTTCCAAATTGAACGATGTTTTCGCTTTATAATCACAATTTTGCTTGTCAATATTAAAATTAGTTAGTTATTTTGAATGATTTTAAATAAAATAGAGGAATAAGTTTTATAACCATTTAGCAATTTATTTATTTAGGGCATGCTTATGATAATCCACTTTAAAACAATAATACTTTGGAAATACATTAACCAGAGACTGAACTTAATAGAGTATAATCATTGTATTAATAGAAAGTGATTTACAGGTATGGTTTTCGAGAAAAAAAATGAAATAAAAGAGAAAATTAAATAATGAGTGTTGAATTGATTTTTTATATAATATATATTAATTCTATATTTATATTAGTTTACCACAAATAATTTTAATTTATGAAAAAAGGATTAGTTCGTCTCTGTTCTAGCCATTTATTAAAACAATCAAAGTTATTTAGCACAAACAATCGTTTAGCTTTTAGATTTTGCTCAGGGAAATAAGAAAAGCATGAATTCAAGGCAGAAACCAAGAAATTGCTTGACATTGTTGCTAAATCAATTTACACAGATAAGGATGTATTCTTGAGAGAATTATTGTCTAATGCTTCAGATGCATTGGAAAAACAAAGATTTTTAGCAACACAAAAGGGAGAGCAAGTTCCATCAGATCTAGAAATAAAGATCGAATTAGATGAATAAAAGAGAACAATTACAATCGAAGTAAATAAGTATATTCTATTGAAAAGGATTCAGGAATAGGTATGACAAAACAAGAAATGATTGATAATCTTGGAACAATAGCAAGAAGTGGATCAAAATAATTTTTGGAATAAGTTGGAACATAAATGAATGATAAGATTATTGGTTAATTTGGAGTTGGATTTTATTCATCATTTATTGTTGGAGACACAGTTGAAGTTGTAAGTAAAAGTGAAAGATCAGATAAAACTTATCTTTGGGTTTCAGATGGAACTGGAACATTTTAAATTTCAGAAGCTAAAGATTTTTTCTAAGGCAGAGGAACTAAAATAACTATTCATCTTAAACCAGATTAAGCTAATTTTTGTAAAAAAACTGAAGTCTTAAAAACAATATAAAGATATTCTAATTTTATTAATTATCCAATCATTGTGAACGGAGAGAGATAGAATATTGTGTCAGCAATCTGGGTGAGAAATAAGAATGAAATCACTCCAGAAGATTATAATAAATTCTATGAATACATATCTAATTCTAAACTTGCATATAAATACAAACTTCACTATTCTACAGATGCTCCCTTGTCCATTAAAGCATTGTTGTATATACCACAAACACATATGGAGAAGTAAATTAGTTATTTTTATATCTAGATATGGAATGTAAATGGAAGACTTTGATATTAGTCTTTACTGCAAAAAGATTTTAATAAAGAAAAATTGTAGAGAACTTTTACCACATTTTCTGAGATTTGTTAAAGGTGTTGTAGATTGTGAAGATCTCCCCTTAAACATTTCAAGAGAAGGATATCAAGACTCAGCTTTGATTGCTAAACTCAAATCTGTAGTCGCCAAGAGAGTCATCAAAGAAATTGAATCAGAAGCTAACAGAGATCCAGCTAACTATCTTTCTTGGTATCATGACTTTTAAAACTTCATTAAAGAAGGAGTTGCCATGGATGATGAACATAGAAACTAAATGACTAAGTTATTAAGATTCTAAACTAATAAATCAGAGGACTTTATTTCTTTAGATGATTACATTTCCAAATTACCTTAAGGCATCAACAATATATATTACTATCTTGCTCCAACAAGACAATAAGCCTTGACATCACCATATATGGAACCTTTTGCAAATTCAGAAATTCCAGTCATCTTGACTATGAATCATATGGATGAAGTTGTATTCAAATAGATCAATGAATACTCATCGAAGAAATTTGTTAATATTGAAAGTGATCAAGCTGAAGTTGATAAGGTTGCTTAAAAATCAAGTGAAGAAAAAGATAAAAATGAAGAAATCAATGTTGAAACAAATATACCTAATGATGAAATCACACCTTTCTGTTTATGGTTGAAGAATGAATTGAATCCAATTATCTCTTAGGTGTAGGTCTCAAAAAGATTAAAGACTTCTCCAGCCATAATTGTTTCTGCTATTTCATCAGGTATGAGACAAGTCATGCATGCCATGGGGCAATCAACTGTATAATTATTTATTAACTATGATCTAGGATGACTTGAAAAACTTGACCCTAGAAATTAATGTCCATAATCCAATCATTATCAATTTAAATAAGGTCAGAAAATCTAACAGAGTTATAGCATCTTTAGCAAGTAAGTAAATTTTGGATGGTTGTCTCTTGGCTTCTGGACTTTTAAGAGATCCAAAGGAGGTTGTGGAAAGACAACACAAAATTTTGAATGTCTTATTGACTTCTGAAATGTATACATACATAAAATCTTATAATAGAAATACACCAATAGTTGAAGAAGTAGGAGCATATAGAGAGGAAGCTGTCAAGTAAAAAGATAGTAATACTTAAAAAGAAGACTTAGAAACTGAAATTATTATCGACAGTGATGGAAATCCTTAAGTTGTTAAAAAGAATAAAAAATGAATAATAAAATATTGTATATTACATATATTACGTTTATTAAAAGAAATTAGTATTAATATTTTAAACACTAAAAATTATTGTGATTCATATTAATTATGAAATAATAGAATTGAAATTTTTTAAGATTTCTTTATTTCTATTTATTTTTGATTCTTCTTTTGTAATTTTTTGTTCCATTTTCTTAGCATTCTAAATGACTTCATTCGGAATACCAGCAATCTTAGCAACATTAGTTGCAAAACTCTTTTCAGCTACTCCATTAATTAATTTATATTCAAAGATTACTCTATCCATTTCTTAATAATGTTTCATTACACATTGTTGAATATTCTTGTATAAAGCAAACTCATCCAAAAGAATATGATAATGTGTTGCAAAGATAGTTTTAGGCTTTATCTTTTAAGATAAATATCTCAAAACTGCAGATGCTAATGCTACACCATCATAAGTTGAGGTACCTCTTCCTAATTCATCTATTATCACTAAACTTCTGCAAGTGCAATTATCCAAAATTGTTTTTGTTTCTTCAAGTTCAATAAAGAATGTTGATTTGCCTTCCAACATTCTATCAGATGCACCTATCCGACAAAAAATCCGATCAAAAGGAACTAGTTTAAATGACTTTGCAGGAACAGCACAACCAATTTAAGCCAACACGATCTATACTCCAATTAATCGTAGTAAAGTAGATTTACCACTCATATTAGGACCTGTTAATAAGAGAGTATCAACAGAATTTATAAATTTTATTGTATTTGGAATCCAATCTATATCTCTATTTTATAATAAGCAAGGATGATATGCTTCTTAAAGAACAAACTCCTAATCATCATCTTCATTTGGAGATTGTTCTAGGATTTATGGAAATGTATTAAAATTATGCAATATAGACACCTAAGCCAATGAAATCCTAAAATTAATATTATAATTACAAGCAATCTGCTTCAGAAAGTAAGGAAATTAATTACAAAAATTCTTTTCTATAAGAATAGAATTTGGTAAAGTAATCATTTATGAAGGGGATCAACTTTTGAGATAATTCATCTTCAACAACTTTTAATTTAAAAATCTATTATTCGATAAAATCTGTTTAGAATCTTTGGAATCCTTTCTTTTTGGATGTAATCACTAACTCTTTTGGCTTTTAATCTGATTCTAGATATTTATCAGGAATTTCAATTTAATATCGAATTTTTCCATGATGATATGCAATTTAAGGGCATTTAAACTTCTATTGCCACTTTTTCAATTCTTGATCTAAAGCATCTATAATATTAATCATCTTATCATAAGCTATATCATATTCTGGAGATACCCCTTTAACTGGTTAAGGTTCTCCATCATAGATTTAAATACATTTCTCTAATTCTTTTAATATACTATTAAGAATTTAAGCATTTTTCTTATAGTTCAACATTTTTTTTAATTTATTTGATTTGAATTTATTGAGACTACTCTCAAAAACTTTGAAAATTTCAGAAGCTTCTTTTATATTCTTAATTACTTGCGTAATTTCTTTTAATTTAGCTTTTCCAAAACTTTCTCCTCCAGTGCCATGAACAGCCTTAAGTTTATGTGAATGAATAGTATTAAAACATTTAATTATGTTTCTCTCTAAATCTGGAAAGGATTTTAATCTTTTTTAAAATTCCTCACATGGTTTTATATACTCTAATAGATCTCTGACACAATCTTGTCTCTCTTAAATTTGTTTATGAATTAAGAGAGGACTTTAAATCCATTTAGTTAGTAATCTCTTACCAAAAGGAGTTACACACCTATTTAAGTATTCAAAAAGACTTCCCTTTGAAGAAACTTTAGTTTATAGATTGACATCAAAAATCTCTAGACTTTCTAAAGCTTAAGAATCCAAATAGAGATTTTACTTTTAATTAAAGTTGGAATCAAGGAATTAAAAATTCCCTCTTCTATAAACAGAAGTATGGATTAACAATTGTCTCATGTAACATAATTGTATATAAAAGGATTGAAGAGTAAAATAATAAGAATAGAATGTAGATTCATCTTCATCTTGAGTTAGTTTTTTTTCATAATAATATTACTTTTCTAATTCTACAAGAAGAGAAGGGTATTCATCACTTAATATATACTCTTCTTCTTTTTCTTTTGAGTATTTTTCATCTTTAATGTTATCAAATTGGCCTTTATAAATACCTTGATTGATATTAGTTTCAATCTGATGTTCAGGTTTAATTTTCTCATCTGGCAGGACAATACCTTCAAAACTTCCATTTGTTGATTGCTTAATAATATTTTTACTAACAGTTTTCTATTCGAGATATTCAACTTTTAGTTACTAAAAAATATATTCACACTCTTTAAATTCTTTTTTGGATGTAATAATAATTGGATTGCAGATAGTTCTATTAGTATGATTATTAGTTACTTCATCATTTTTTCAATATCTGGTGTTGCTTTTGAGAGTATCACTTCAAGAGGCTTGGTCTTATAAATAATAGATCTTAATTAATTAGACTGTTCATCATCTAAAAATTGGTCCAAATAAAAATTATTAGTTGTACAATCTACAATAGACACTCCATAAATATATTTATGTCCATTGAGATTAACTGGAGCATTTGAACATACTAAAACTAAGAGATTCCTAGATTCATAAGAATCTAAATCACCTAGATCTTGCAAAGTGCCTCTGCTGATTAATTATGTAATTTCTCTTTTAACTACTTCCCCATCTTCTTTATTTGCTATGTCTGCCTTTTCCAATTACTCAACAAACATTATTTTAAATCCTTTTTCTAATAAGGTTCTTTAATATATTGGTAATTGACTATCATAGACAGTTAAACAAGGGCGATCTTTTCCCCAAAAAGCTAATTGACGGTTGAACATCTTTGCAATAATGATAGCATCATTATACATAACATTGAACCATCTGCCAAATCTAAAAAATACTAAAGAATCATAATGGATTCTTTTGGCATTCCAATATTGTCTAAAAACTGGTGATAATTTTAAATATTATCCTATTGGTATGTCCAATGTAGATGGATCATAATTTGGATCATTAGGTCTTCTACCTTCAATATCTCTTATGCGTTCTGGTTAAATGAATGGTGGTAACAAAAGTTCAGCTGTTCTAAAGGATTCTTCACCATCATTGATTAATGTCTATTCAATCAGTTCATCTTTATCAATATCTTCTTCTACAACTTGCATTATTTATTTAAGTTTTTATTTGCTTTTTGGATTTTCTTTCTTACCACCTATAGATTTAGATTAACGAGGATTTTTTTTATTTTATTTTTCATCATCAGAACTTGGCTATAAATCAGATTCTGATGATTCCTACACTTTTTGAGGTGGATAATCATCATCATCTAATTTCTTAAGTCTACCAGACTTCTTAATCTCATTTTTGGATGATTACTTTTTTTAATACTTAGTTATCACAAACATATCATCATCTACATCCCTCTAAATTTTCCGCATTTTTGTTTATAAATTCTGAAATTTGAGTTTAATTTAAAAATTTTATTCACTTTCATAATATTATCTAATAATTTTGTTAAACCATTTGAATCATAATTGACGGGCATTATAAATGTATGATAGATTACCAATTACAAATAAAGTGAATATATTTATTTTTGATAATGCATAAAAATTTATATATATAATAATATATAATCATTTCCTATTATAATGAGCACACATACTAAACTTGGTATGAGCAGATCATTAAAGGAAGTATCACCAATTCAAAAAGAAAACATATCTATTCAGCAAGTTTTAGAAATGTTTCATTCTCCATATACAGAATAATTGACTGATAGAAAGAGTGAAGCTATTGTTAGATTCTGTAGACAAAGATCAGGAGGATTCTTATTAGAAGAGATTTAAGAATTGATTGAGATATTGAGATTAGCTATTGCTGAAAATAATACCTTAATGTAACCAGCCATCTAAAAAATTTGCGAAACTGCTTCTATTCCATTCATCAAATTAAGAACATCTGATTAATTGAAATTTGTTCCAAAATTAAGTGAATTCTTAGACATTCTGAAATCTGTTCTATATAGTCCATAACAAGATTAAGGCAGTCAATAGCCTGAATTACGAATGCCTGTTATTAAGTTTTTGAAATTTTTCGCAGAAGAAGGAATTAGTGAAATAATGAAAGAAGAAGCCTCTTTTGAATAATAAAAGAAATAAACAGAATTGTCGCCTCTCTAGCATCTATTAAAAAATGGAACAAGAGTAATTAAAGTATCTACATTAAATAGAACTTAAGAGCATTGAACTAATCCAATTTGATCGAAAATATCATCTTTACTATGCAACATTATTCAAAATAATATGAATACTTATTACCTTTACTTGAGTTAATTTCTAGTTGTATTCTTTATAGAGATTTGGCAGCCAAGTTTTCAAATTTCGGTATTCTAAAGGATATTGTATATGTGATATTTGAATGCGAAGATTTCAGATCATATATAGTTAAATCATGCTTTGAAATTATATGGAATACTATTGAAGTAATTACTATGTGAATCAATATAGGCTGTTGGAGTAGCATCAATTAAGTTGTTTGCAGTTGAAGATATCATTTCAGGATTAAAGAAACTCTTCGAAAATATTATGAAGTAGGGATATAAGTTAGAAGATAAATGTTTAAGAAATGAAATCTTAATATTATTAAACTATTTGATGAGAGATGAAAAAGTAATTTTTGATTAAATTAAAGGCATTACAATATTTCGTTGATAAACCACATACCCATTCAATTCAATCACAGACCAATTTCTTAGAAGTTTTATTATTTTATGCAACAATCGATGAAGTTACTTTCTATAATGAACCAATTAGAACTAATTAGTTGAAAGCATTCTTTGGTACCACTAGTGAAGATTTAGAATTTAAAAAATTAATATGGAGTGGAATTTTAACAGCTGTTTAATCAGGCAATTAGGCTGTTTTAGAAGCTGTAAAGGAATCTCCTTTCATTATCACTTTATTATTATATATAGATCCGTTAGCAAATAGTTATGCTGTTAATAGGTGGTCTCCTCCATAGAAAAAAGAAATATAATTACATTGTCTAGGAATATTAGGAAATGCAATTGTCTATTTAAAAGATGAGTAATAAATGTAACTATTTTTCAACTAGTTTTTATGAAAAAAATGGACTATTCTGTTTAACAAAATTTTTAACAAACACGTAAGAGTTGGATCATAAAGAAAGATGTTTAAAAGCATTCAATAATGCATCTGAATTTGAATAGAATTACAAAATCAAAATTTGTGATGAAGGTGTAATGGATAATTTGATTGAATTCTTGCAAAATGAAAATGACAACGATAATCCATTAAAGATAAAGGAATTATGTTTTTCAATAATTTCTAATTTATGCAAAGAGTGCAATAAGAATAAGAAATTATTTAGATAGAAGGGAGCTGTAGAATTGATGGTTAATGCATTAAAGAATCCTAATTTAGGTACAAGTGCTCGATATGCATTATATGCAGTTAGTGTTCTTGATTGTTTATGGAATAGTATTTTAGGTAATAGGAAATCAGAAGCTATTTTTTTGGATTCTGAAGGACTCTATGTATTATTAGAATTCTTAGAAACATGTGATGATATGCATAAGAAACTCACTCTATCTTGTTTAAGTTATTTGATGGAGAATCCTAAGGCCATTCCATATTTTTGTGATTGGAATTCTCCTAAAACAATGATTAATAGTACTCAATTATTGGTTAAAATATATGTTGCTGAAGATCAAAGATTTGGAGTTAAATATTCTGATGGTATTGTTACAAACAAACTCAGACCATTGAATCCATAAAATGATCCAAGTCTTAGATCTACGAATCAACAGGGAGATTTGAAATCAAAACATATGAAATCACTTAGAACTTAATCAGAGGATTTAGAATCAGATGTAGGCAGTGAAGCATATTTAGTCAGAAGAATTAATGAAAAATCTGCCGAATATGATTTAAGAGCCATAGTATTTGCTATTTTATATAGAACAGGATTTGATAAAAATGAATTGTTACCTAATGAAAAATAAATGGTTGAAGTTATTCAATTATATCCTCATTTTAAAATAGGAGAAGTTTGGAGAGAAATCAAATATGATTTGGAATAAGAAAAAATTAAACCTACTTCTGATGATTACCATTGGTTGATGACTTCTATTGAAGAATCAGAAGAATTAGTAATGAATTGCATGAACACTCAAGGACTTGTATGTTTATTTCATTTATATTTACTTTTAGATTGCAAGAGAGTTCAGAAAAGTATAAGAGGAAGAACTAACCAAATTTTATGATATTATTAGAAGTAACAAGTTAACTAAATGATAAATTAAATATTATTTTATATCTATAGATATCCCTTTAACTTTTAAATATATAAGAGTATTCATAAATATACAGGACTAATTCACCATATTCAATATAATTTATCAAGATTAAGTGAGTAATTAAACACTCTCATGATTCTAATTCGGACTTTATGCTTATCTCTTAAAATATAAAGTATTCTGGGTTCAGGCATTTTAACAATTTTATTTTAATTTTAATCAAACAATTTAATAGTTTTTTATCATGAGTTCTTGTGTTCATTTTTTTCCTTTCTCTGTTCAAATAACTTATCATCAAGATGTGGTTTTAATGGTGAGGTTCCGCAAATTCCCATTATTTTTAGAACAGGATTAAGTTTAATTTATAAATATAAATATTAAATATACTCTAAAACTAAAGAACCTTAGATTATATCAAAATACTATCAGTGAATTAAATAGTTTATCTATTCTTTTGATTGGTTATTTAATAAAATTTTTCATTTTCTATCTGCTAAATTAAAAGTAGGAACTCTCTTGATTAGATTTATATAGGCTAAATTAAAGCTGATTCCTAATTGATAATTATTAGTAATCATTTTGACCTCATAATAATTCTAAACATATTCCTCTTTAAAATGTACTAATTATTGCAAATACTTAAACAAGTTTTAGTATTAAATCTATGTTGTTAACATAGAATAATGCTCTCATTTTAATTTATTTTTGATCATCTTCTTCATTTCACATAAAATAGAATTATTTTTATTTAATTTATATAAAGCATAAAAAACCTAATTTTCATCAGTAATTAAATTGGAGCTGATTATTAGATTGATCTTCAATCTTAATAAAAGTACCATTAATTTTTTTTAATGTACAATGATTATACTCTATTAAGTTCAGTCTCTGGTTAATGTATTTCCAAAGTATTATTGTTTTAAAGTGGATTATCATAAGCATGTCCTACATAAATAAATTGCTAAATGGTTATAATTAAAGTTCTAATCAAATATTCAATTACTATAATTACTTCGGCACCATAATTGTATTCTTTGTTCATTTCTTTGATTAACAAGCCATCGAAAAACCGATGTCTTTCAATTTAATTTCAAATCTATTTAGAAATCCATCTAACCCAAATAATCAGTTGATAATAAACCTATTATATTTTATATATAAACGAATTTGCAAATAAAAACAATTTTTTTTCTTATTAAAAAAATTATTTTAATTAGAGAACTCATTCCTCTATTTTATTTAAAATCTTTCAAAATAACCAACTAATTTTAATACTAAAGAGCAAAATTTGGATTATAGAGCTAAAGTATCGTTCAAATTGTAACACATTAACAAATTACTCTTAAAATACAATACTTATATAACAGCAAATTTTGAAGTTATTAAAGATCTAAGTGAATTCTGTCCACCAATTTTTGAAATTTCAATTCTTTTTCTTTATTCTCTTTACACATAAACATATTATGCATTCTTTTTTCCAAACAAATGCTTATATTTTGTTTCCTTGAATATATTATCATTAAAATTATTTATTTTTTAATGAAGAACAATACACGATTTAATTTATAAATTACATTTAATAATCACATTTAATTGCTAAGAGATTATGATTATTCTTCACTTCATGTCAAACCTGTTAGAATTCCTTATGTATTGCAATTATAAATCAATTGACATGATCTTCAACCAGTTTTCAATGTATAATTAAGGCTTAAATTGATATGGTTAAG